CAGATCGAAGCTTCATCCATCTATTTTCAAGATATTGTTATGGATCGTGTCAAAAATCCCATCATTATTGATCAGCATTATGACTCCAAGAGAAAGCGTGAGGTATGTATATTGTTAATTATTAATTATATATTTTGTGGAATAATTAGATATAATATTTATTAATTATATATTGCGTATGTGCGTGCAGCCATCGAAGGTGAAGATCAGTGATGTTCACTTCAGAAATATAAGGGGAACCTCAATTTCAGCAGTGTCAATATCTCTGAATTGTAGTTCAACATTTCCGTGTCAGGGCATTGAATTGTCAAACATTGATTTGCAGCCCATTGCCCCTATTGGACCTCTAAGATCTTCTTGTTCGAATGCCAGATTCTTCGTCACTGGAAAAATCAACCCCACTGCCCCCGCTTCTTGTGTATAGACATATTTTCTTTTCTTTTCTATTTAACTGCTATTATATTCATTCACGAATAGCAAATTCACTATTTCTCTTTAACCAAAATATGTATTTTGGGAAGAAATATATTACCTAGTACATATACAACTGAAATTCATTAATATCTTGCTCTTCACAATTTTTGGCTTAACAAATAAATAATATAATATAACAAGGCTTGGCAATTATTGGTTGGGTAATGTACATAATGAATATTAAAAAAAATTAAAAAATAAGAATTGACAGCTTGAATATTTAACTATTCTATTTTAACCAAAAATATGAGATATCTCAAGACCTAATACCATTAAGAATTGCTTGTTTCATTGGTTAATATTTTTGCTCTTTTTAACGGCAGATGTGCCAAAAACGCAAGCGTCGTGCTACTAGAACTTCCATTTTTATGATTCATTAACTTAGAAATAATTTTAGTATAACACATTTATTCCGACTCAATTTTAGTAGGGCATCCATGGATTTTATTTGAACTAGTACTTTGACACGCTCGATGCACGGAATAAAATTAATGCAAAATAAAAATAACTTTAAATCATAAAATTGAGGTTTAAAAAAAAATTAAATTAAATCACATCAAAACTAAAAGGTAAAAACGACAAACACAGTCTTGAGATGTTTGATCTTCATATAAAAAATAAATAAGCGCTTTGTTCATGCTATTTTTTCTTAAAAGAAACACGTGGGCACATCAGTGTAGTTAACACATGGGGATTGCAATTTCACCGGCAGAAAGGGCCTCCTGCCCTTTTGTCACTCCTATATGTTATCCTTTCAACACAACACTTTCTTAGAGTTCACTATATTGTAAAGAACCCTGAAAAAAATTACGAAATAAGAGCAATAATCAAATGTTTCGCAAAACATCACCAGTGATAAAATAAAAATCCTTACTCATCTCTAATAGATACATTGGCAGCTTTAGCATGAACATCAATAATATAAGAGGGTATTACTTTCGCCGATCAAATGTTCTCAAAATTTTCTTCCCCCGTTACGAAAAAAATTACACAGTCGGTGAATTTGTGTCTTTTTAAGACAACAAAATGGAATTTGATCAAAACAATACACTCTGGGCCCTTTTGGTTTGGTAGTTTGGATAGATAAGTGTGTATGGGATATGTAATATTGGGACTAAATTGAGTATTAGGAATACCATACACGACTTTTGGTTTGAGGTATTGTCACGAATATGCTAATCTCTTGATCAATTAAACGATGTTTTGTTATTGATATTTCGGTCTAAATTAATAATACTTGGCCAATGTCTGAAATGCCCTTAAATTATATTATACAAATATCCATTTTCATTTTCTTCATAATACAGAGTTGCAGATCCCCAATATTCTACCCCTCTCTACAGTAGCCCTAAATTGAATCTTTATAAAACGCAAATACATCATAATTTGGTTCCATTCTTTGGTAGTTTTTGTAGAATGAGTACTGGTGGTAGTAGTTCGAGAAGGGAATCGAGCAGAAATGAACACGGTGGATTCGACACAAATCAACCGGATATTTGTGAGTGTGGTTTCAAGCTTCGTTTACAAACTTCTTGGACCCCAACCAACCTAGGGCGACGCTTTTTATCTTGCCAACAAAGGGTAACTTTATCTTCGTTTATGAATATCAATCTATTACAATCCATTTTATAATGCCATGTACTTTCTCAAGTAATGTGTGGTTAAAAAAATGTTGTGAATCTTAAATGAGGTTCACATGGTTTTAGTCAAACTTTATTGAATTTGATGAATGTTGCCAACGGAGCTATGCCATATTCAATTCGCCATTTAAAATAATTATTAATTTATACATTAATTAATAATTTATCAATTAAAATTCAAAACAAACCCCCACCCACTTCAGTGGCGATTCCTTGGTTTATTCAAGGGTGAAACTGAACGTACTAAAAAAATATATGAATAAAATTTATAAAAATGATGGATTAAAAATTATAGGGGTGTAGGGGTAGTGTCCCCGAACTATTATTTGAGAAGTATGAACATGAAATGACACAACATATGTAAATTTTTTAAAATTAACAGGATGATTTGATGTTTCACTTCCTCCATCCTCCATGATGTTTAATTTTTATAGAAAATAGACTTCATAAATATTCATAAAGAAAACTTAAATTATTTTTTAATAATTACTAATTTATAATTTTTAAGAAAATGTTTTTAAAAAAATCTAACTTCTAAAATAGAAAGAACAGTTTATACTTTTTTCTAGTAAAAAGCAGATTTTATAGAAATAAAGCAGTAGCTTTTCTAATAAATTTTTATTTTGGTTCAATAATTTTGATTTTAAAAAATGCCTTGGTATATGAATAAATAAATAAATTGAAAATGTCAAGGATTTGCAATTGCACACGGCAAACCCTTGCACCACACCACCTCCACCACTGCCCTATCTCTTCTTCTTGAACAAAACTCGTTTTTAAAGTAAATAAAATAATGAATAGTGATTATTATTCGAGGAATAAAAACCAGTGACTAAAACATTAGAAATTTAACAATTAAGTGCTCCAATATTAAGGAAATTGTAAAAACAACTATATTTATCCAAAATAAAGTTTACGTTAGACTACCCATAATTAAATCAATGACATGTTAATCTTGTCACGCAAGGGAAGGTCTAGCGGTTGGATCAAGTGGTTCTGTGTCAATTGACCTAGGTTCAAGTCCCCTTGCCAACAGACGCTGGGTCGAGCTTGTCGCACATGAGTAGCCTGGTGTGATTTACGTGTCTCATTTGGTTTACAAGGTATTATACGAGAGTGTAGGTTTACGCAGACCGCAGTGCACCTATATGGTTTCGCTACATGTTCTTTCATTACAAAAACAAAAAAAATTAATAATAGGAGAATGTTTATCTATCTATATATAATAGGGGTAATATGCTAGGGGCCCCTCAGCACAAACTTAACTTTAAGTGGATGAAATCTCAAATAAAATATTTTAACTAAATC